TTATAAAACTAATAAAATAGTGAATAGTTACAAACTTTTATTTTTAAAGATGAAAAAAGAACTGCATTATACAGAGTTTTAAAGGGGCAATATCATGTAAAATCAACTTTTTTGAGTTTTATATCATGTTATAATGTTATACTCACATAAAAAAACTTGCCCAAAGCCTTGCTTTGACTCATTCATGTATGTTTGACAAACCCTGCAGCGTTTTTAGGCAGCCATGCTGAGGAGCAAAACGACAGGTGGGGACCAGAAACGCCCCTGGGACGTGTCTTTAAGCCGAACTTCCTCATGGCGGAGCGCCCCCCCGCCCATATGACTCCTGCAGGCTCTCGGGTGAAAGTGAAAGTGAAACTTAAACTGTCTGCTGAGCTCCTAACATTAGTTCTCACTCAGAGAAGCTCTTTTCAGATTAAAAATACCTTTGAGGAAATGTATTTTCAGATGCCAAGTAAATTGCATCATGCCCCTTGACCCCCATGAGCACCCCCCTACCCACATCGAAATGGGCGAGACAGAAGCGGACGGTGGTTCTTAAAGAGACAGAGGCCAATTTCAAGGCGTTTAGAAGAGGAAGTGATGAGAAGATAAGTTTATTTTCTATTTAAACATTAAATTAGCATTTAAAAGGTGACATTGTATTTAAATATATGCCTGAGAAACATATAATTTTGCCCCTTTAATGATTAGATGTGTTTTTAATCATTTTTCTTAGTGATTATTTAAAATTCTGCTAAAATATATACCTAAATGACCATTGAAATTAAACTGTGCATTAGAAATTGTAACACTTTTCTAACGTTTCGGTCACAAAAAACATTTTATTAAAGGTCATAACAATGAACTCATTATCTGTGTAAAGCTTAAATAATTTGAGTGATTGATACTGTAAAACCTTTTGTAAAGAACTAGAATGTTTGTCAAAGTATTATTCATTGATACAATTGTGTAATCAAACCTAAAATTGCACAGTTCACCAAAGTGCAGCACCTGAGGGAATCGGCCAGCCCACCTCTTTCAAATCGAACAGAATTTGTGTCAAATGTTTGTGCAGCAATTTTTTTTCTTTTGTGCTGCTATAGTTTTAAAGATATTATAAAAGTTTCCAGAGTTCATCAGAGGTCAATTAGTCATACAAAATGTACAAAAATAAACTTTCTAGCCAAGAAACATGGGGTGGTAAAATGTATTTAGTTCTAGTGGCAGCTGCCACTTTGTGCCTCCCCCTACAKCCGGCCCTGCAGCTTCCACACTGCAGCTGCTTTTCTGCACGCACTTCCATGATCGGACACAGCGTGGCGCTCCCGACCCGTGTGTGTGGAGGGAGGGAGGGAGATGCTCTTTCTGACAGCTCCAGAGTCTGTAAAGACCCTCTCCATCCAGCAGCATCCGTCCACCCCACGGACACATAGCAGCGCGCGCTCACACTCACGGGAGATCAGGAGTGGGGTGAGCTGAAAAACTGCTCTCTCTCTCTCTGCTGGGAGGTGCAGCATCTGAGGGCGTGATGTGGAGCGTTTAAATCTTTTAGGCAGGGTGGAGAGGTGCCTGACAGTGATCCTCCTGCCGGGGAGGAGCAGGGAAATCCCTCTCTGGACTGAGCCAGAGAGGAGGAGGAGGAGGGAGAGTTGAACTGGGACTGGAAGCAGGAGAGTTAAGGATGTTCTGATATTTAGAGCCTTTGTCCTGCTGCTGGGAGCTGAAATGGAACCACCAAAGGTGACTCTGTAGTTCTTCAAGCTGCTGGGGTTCCTCTCCTCATCATCATGAGTGGATCAACTAACGGTAAGTCCAACCTGAGAGACTCTCATGATTTATCACTTCATTCCTGCTTCATTTTGTATGGACGAAAGGAGCCGTCTCCATTATCACAGCAAAGGAGAACTGATCAAGATTTCACTGGAGAAGTCAAGGATTACTCCTTCGTTTCATTGATAGGAAATTATTTTAGTCATATCAGCTCATGTCATTTGGAGACGAGAAGATGAGAAAGCTCAAACACAACTGGAGACTAATAAATATCAAAGTTGATTATAGGACTTAAATCAGCTTCCACCTTACAGAGATCTTTAACCATATAAAAGCTCTGATATACTGTAGTTACAACCTTGTCCGTAAAGCAAAAAGTGAATTTAACCTTAAATMTCTTATCTGTTAGGACCTGAGGTCAGGGGTCAGGGTGGGGGGCTGTCAGACTGCAGAATAAAGGTCATCTTTGACATTGAAGATGTTTTAAGAAAGGCTGCTGAGTAAGTAACAGTAAATTACAATTATATTTTGTAAAAACAAGGATTTAATGATAGATTGCTTATATATTATAACATTTTAAAAGTGAGACAAAAGCAGAACTTAAAAAAAATCATAAAAAAGGCAACAAAAAGACAAAATGTGGGACATCTGATGCACAGTTGGACTCCAAAAAGTGGCAAACTGTTTAAATCCTGCACAGGTTTCTGTCTTTACAGATAAGTATTTTTTTCTTATTCCGTGTTAGATAACGTCACTTAAAGATAGCCTGACCATTAAACCAGAACCGGTGCCCAAACACACCAACCACTGAATCACTTGTACTGTACGTGGCACATGTTCTCTCATTTGTTCCTTCCAGAAAGAACAGCCTTTAAAGCTACTAATAATAACAAAAGACACACAAAAATAACACATTTCTTCTAGCAGCCATGTTCACAGGTGGCTCAGATCTTTCTCTGTCTGCTGTTCCAACCCTTGTGCTGCCATCTGGCTACAGAACCAACGCCAGCCTTGGTCATACACACCCACAGAGACACACACTCCAAGGATACAACCACCTTTTTTTTTGTGTCCTACTTTTTTTCTTCCTCCTGTAAGCATGAACATATCCACAGCTCTCCCTCTGTATGCTCCTTTCCTGCTGCCATCAGCTTAACCTACCAGCTTGTTGGGTTTGCTGCGATTGGTAATATTCTGGGATGCAGTAGCTTTGTCTGAAATGTGATTGAATTCTGAGCAGAATCTGTTGCACAGTGAGTAGTTGATTCTGAATGAAAGCTGATGGAGTCACTTTTACCTGGCAGACACACAACAGAACGTGATTGAGACAGCTGAAACAGCTTAAGGAAAATGATTGCTTTATTTTAAAGTAAAATGCCCCCCCCACCCCGCCCTTTTTTTCTGACATGTTTTATAGATGGTGAGTTGCAGGATCCCAGTGCAGTCATGAAGGCAGTTCTCACGATCTCAGCAGCACTTTTAATAATTAAAGGTGTAGCAATCCTTGAAGGAACGCAGATCACAGTTTTAGAAGGAGATAAGGCAAAACAGAACACAATAAATCTAAACAAAAATTCATCAGACAACGAAGCAAAAAAAAAACCTCAGTAGTTTTTATTTCTGACTCTCTGTAAACTTAGATGTAAATCACTTCAATTCAAAAACACTTCATTGATCCCAAAGGGAAACACAGCGGGTAAAATAAGTATTGAACACGTCACCATTTTTCTCAGTAAATATATTACTAGAGGTGCTAATGACATGAAATTTTCACCAGAT